CAGCAGCAGCAGCAGCAGCAGCAGCAGCAGCAGCAGCAGCAGCAGCATAACCACGATCGGTCGTCAGCACCACCGGGCCAGTCTTTGCAGCAGCTCTGTCGGTCACCATTATCATCATCCTTGTCATCACGCCTGTCAATCACCGTCACCATCATCATGACCCCTCTGACATCATCATCCTCATCACACCTGCCTCTCCTCATCATCACTGCCCTCCCTGCATTGTCATTATCCATCACCAGGGCGAACGAGGGGCATGTTAGTTCACACCTGCCCAGATTAGAAAGGGTACACATTCCCAGCACCACCTGAGACCCTCCATAGAAAGGTCCAGAACCATGGGGCCATGAAGCAGAGAACACTCTCTCTATAGTGTGAGCGCCACCTGCTCCAGGAGACCTCTAGGCCCCATGCAGCACACTTATCCCAAGTACCATTGTCAAGGAAGGTGTGCAGAACTTAGCAGAGTTGCCCACAAACCCAACTGTGACCTTGCAAAACTTCACAAGCATGCTGTCATGCCCTGTTTTCAGTGGGCTGAGGCAGAAGCATGAGCAGACACCTCTGTCTAGTTTCCTTACAAAGCTCCTTCTGGAAGTTTCTAGAACAAAACAGGAAGGCGAGGAGCAAAACCAGACCGACAGAGCCACAATAACTGCAGATGGCGTGAATTTGTTTTGTTTTGTTTTGTTTTTTAAATTGTTTTTATTGAGCTATATATTTCCCTTCCCTTCCCTTCCTCTCCCCTCCCCTTCTACCCTCTTCCATGATCCCCATGCTCCCAATTTACTCAGGAGATCTTGTCTTTTTCCACTTCCCATGTAGATTAGATCCATGTATGTCTCTCTTAGGGTCCTCTTTGTTGTCTAGGCTCTCTGGGATTGTGAATTGTAGGCTGGTTTTTCTTTGCTTTATGTCTAAAAGCCACTTATGAGTGAGTCTTTCTGGGTCTGTGTTACCTCAATCAATATGATGTTTTCTAGCTCCACCCATTTGCCTGCAAATTTCAAGCTGCCGTTATTTTTTTCTGCTGTGTAGTACTCCATTGTGTAAATGGACCACATTTTCCTTATCCATTCTTTGGGCGAGGGTCATTTAGGTTGCTTACAGGTCTTGGCTATGACAAACAATGCTACTATGAACATAGTTGAGCACATGTCCTTGTGGCACGATTGAGCATCCTTTGATGGCATGAATTTGAATCACCCGAGAAGTCAAGGTTCTGGAGTCAGCAGGGGCTTTGGGGAGGAGGGGGAGAGTCAGGCACCCTGGGAGAGTTCTGCCTGGGTGTTCACTGATGTGGGCACCATGAGGTGCCAGCTAACAGCTCTGATCCCCATTCCCTATTCTGAGATGTGCCTGTTCCCATATAAGTTTGTGAGGGTTCACAGGATGGTAGTCCTGGGCGCCCAGCGGGACGTGGGGTAGATGCTGAGCCGAGACCGAATGGATGGGACTGAGCGGATGGCTGTACGGATGAGAGAATGTCCAGGAAATGTTAGTCGTATCAGTTAGCCCATGCATTGTTACCTTCAAGGAGGAAAAAACCCTTCTCTGAAGAATCCTACAATCCATCCTGTTTCCCTAGACACTCCACAGTCTTGAATGAGAGCCATGGTAACAGCTGGGCTACCTCTCCAGAGTCCTGGGGAATTCCACCTCCCAAGCTGACATTCATGAGAATGGCTGCTCCATTACTGCCTCCTACCTCCTGAGGCTCAGGCAACCCCCTGGTCAGTATGAGAAGGACATCGATGTCTAGGCCAGCAGTGCATGGGAAAGATGAGTATCGATTCTCTAGGTGCTGGGAACAGCAAGGAAGAAGAGGTTGTGGTGTACCCTGGACCTGAAAGCTCTCGGTGAACCAGAGTGTCTGTGGCTAGGTTAGAGAATTCATTAGATTTCTTCGGTTAAGAGCCACTGTGTTCCAAGGGATTTATTAATGAAGTGCCCGTGGCTCAGTTTCTTTTACCACTTGGAAAAGCCACTCGGAATGAACAGCCCAAAGTGACTACCTCCTGCACCCACTTCTGTATTGCCCAGTACAGCAGCGCAGTGATTCACATAAACAAAGAACTGCGATTAATGCAAGAAGCCAGAGTCCCTCTCCTACTACAGAAGTTCCTCCCCTTTCCAGGGAAGAAGTCTGTCTCCTGCTTGGTGAAACCTCCCTCCTACCTAACTCAGGGCAGTTCTAGACAAAGCTCAAACTCCTCAGGAAGCCGTGGATAGCTCAGATCCTGACCTTACCTGAGCTGCTTTCTCAGTCCTGGTTTCTGTTGTCACCTGAAGCCATGAATATTAAAGACTCAGGGAGCCTAGTGGTACTGGTGCCACACTGAGAGGATGGGCGCTAGGAGAGCATACACTGCACATGCTCCACTTGGGTGACTTTTCTTGGACAGAAAGAGCGTTCTGAAATTTCCCATCAGTGAGAGATGTAAAGTCATCATGGGGTGAGATTACTGACCGAGTCCATCCCACCCAAGTCCACAGCCGGCAGCTCAGCCCGCATGCAGGGTTTCTCACTCCCCGAAAGCCCTGGCTTTTCTGGAAACTGGGTGTTGGTTGAGTGAGCAGAGAATGTCTGTCTTTGGTACATTTGACTTTGCAGAGTCGACCACGTGTGTGGAATGGCAGGAGAAAGAGCCTCCTTCTTGCCCTGCCCAGCTGGTCTATTACCCAAATCTTCTACCATGTTCATTGTGATTGACAGCGCAGGTTGACACACTGGTATTAAGTAGTTTTCTGGGGTCACGGTCTTAGAAACATCTGTATGGCGTGTGTCCACATAATACTGTTGCTCAGAATTCCCCAGGACTTCTCCATGTCCACTTGTCCATCCTCCCTCCTACCCAGCCCTTACAAGCCTGATTTCCGGCTGTGCCACACAGTACCCTAAAACGTTGGGCGTGCCTAGTGCACCACCTTCTCAGCCTTCACTAGTATCCTGCATCCAAACTCCATCCAATAGCCATGGTCAAAGCAAGAGAAGTTGGAGTTTGTGCATTTATCCCCTGTTCTTTCTCAAACACCTAGCAAGGCAGCTACTACCAACCCTGAGCTTGTCGGAAGCCTGACCCCTTTCTGAAAGTGCTTCTTACCTGTGTCATCTCTCAGGACTCTGCTCATACCTGCCCCATTAGGGGACCTAAGAGCCACACATCTCCTCTGCCCTCCAGAACAGGTCTCCACAAAGCTTCAGTTGGTGGTTCTAGCCTCTCCAAGGGACAGTGAGTTTTCTGGGGAAGAAATTCTTTTATGGTCATCCTCATCCTAGGCTGGTGATGGGGCCTGTGCGAATGTTCAATAACATTCATTGTATAAGATTGGTACCCAGGTTACAGATCCAAGTACAGCCAGGACTTGAACTCTGAAGTCATCTTCCCATGTTGTCCTTACTGTGCCAAATATGTGTTCTAAAAATCTCCACCAATACCATTTTTAAGACAGTGAACTGAGGCTGGAGTGAGAGTCAAATACAGAGAAGATGTGAGGAGGCAGGGCTGGAGAACCGGCTCAGCGGTGACCCAAGTTCAGTTCCCAGCATCCATGGGTAGTTCACAACCTTCCATAACTCCAGCTTCATGGAGTCCAACACCATCTATGGCCTTCATCAATGTCTTTGCTCATGAGCACTTATCCACACAGAGACACATATACATAATTAAAGGTAAAATAAACTTTAAAACAAGAGTGATCCATGAGGACCAGACAGTGAGCTTGAGCCCTTTAAAACAAGCTAATTCAAATACATCAACATAGAAAATGATTTACGGCATAGGACAGATGTGGAGCAGGGCAGATGTGAAGTAGGGCAGATGTGGAGCAGGGCAGAT